CCGAGCCCAGAGTCTCACTCTTGCTCAGGCTGGTCTCAAACCTGTGAGCTTAGGCAACCCACCCATCTCAGCCTCCCAGAGTGCTAGGATTACAGGCATGAGCCACTGCGCCCAGCCCCCCATTTCCATTCTTGTTCAACTCCAGCTCACTCCTGGGCCTGGCCTGGCTAGGGTGCTCTGCATAGCCCTGAAGCTCTGCAGCTGGATCATCCAATATACATTTATGAAACACCTATGTGCACCAGGCACTGTTCTGCAGACACGGCAGTAAATGGAATAGACCTAGTTCTGAGAGAGACTGACCAAAAATTAGTCACATGTTTTTGAAAATGTACAATATATTATTTTAGTTTAGTTTTTGAGACAGTGTCACTCTATTTCCCAGGCTAGAATGCCGTGACATCAGCCTAGCTCCCAGCAACCTCAAACTCCTGGGTTCAAGCAATCCTCCTGCCTCAGTCTCCTAAGTAGCCGGGACTAAAGGCACCTGCTACAGTGCCTGGCTATTTTTCAATTTTTAGCAGAGACAAGGTCTTGCTCTTACTCAAGCTGGTCTTGAACTCCTGAGCTGAAGGGATCCTCCCACCTCCACCTCCTGAAGCATGAGGATTACAGGCATAAGCCACTGAGTCTTGCCAAAAATGTACAATTTCACATTGAGCAGGAGAGAGAATAACAGAGGGAACTACTCTTGGGAGAGCCTAAGAGATGACAGTGGTGGCAAACAGCTCAATGCAGCTTGGAAGAAGTAAAGAAAGCCCAGTCGGAGATTGGAGTGGAGGGAGGGAGAGAGCGAGGCCTTGTCCTCGAGTACTGGCCCTTCATCTTCTTCCACAAGGCTCTGCTTGAGGCTGGGAAAGTGGTCTCAGCTCAACCTGTCCCCTCCCATCTTCCCACATCCTCAGGACCACAGGGGCTTTGAAAGACACATCCTCGCCCCCCTCTTGTGGGCCCATGGCAGAGTGTTCTCTGGTCAGAAGGCCCTCTTGCGGTGCACTAACTGGTGGCTCTGTGTTCCCAGGCAGGCAGGCCTGGCCTCTAATCCTGGCTCCATTGCCAACAAGCTGTGGGTCTTCAGGTCTCTGGAGCGTTGGGTTTCCCATCTGTAAAACGGGATGCTTCTTCCAGGGCTGTTTTGATAAAATGTGTTGAGCTGCTAGTACAAGGCATGGTACTTGGTAGGGTCCAAACCACAGGTTATTATGTTAAAAACGACCATGATTATAAGTGGCCAAGGAGCTGCTGCAAATTCCCTGAAGCCCCTGGCCCGTAGTGGAATGAGAGCTTCGTCAGGGTAAGGACCTTATTTGTCTAGCTCTTGTCTGTTCATACACAGACTGGCGTGGCAGGCACATGGTTGGTGTTCCAAAATCATATTGAACGGGCGGATAAATGATACACGAGAGAATTAGAGAGCAAATGAATGACCAGTCCCCTCCTCAAGCAAGGACTTGCAACACAGTGGTAATGCTTCTCTCCGGACCCTGCCCGGGATTACGCCCCCGGCTCCCACCTTTCGTGCAGTGTGCAACACTCTTTCGTGTTGTGCACCTCAGTTTCCCTCTCTGTAAGCGGGCGGGAATAGGCCAGCCTACCCGGGTTGGCAGGAGGCGGGCTAGTGAAGACTGCTGCTAAAGGGCCTCACACCCACCAGCGCCCAATCAGCGCGCGCCCAGCCCGAAGCCGCCCCCCGCCCCTGCCCGCCAGCTGCTCGCACCCCCGCCCCGCCTGGGCCGCCCTCCGCGAGCGCACGTGACTCCGCTCCTGCCCGCCCCGCCCCGCCGTCCCTGCGCGAGCTCCCATTGGTTACCCTGGGAGGACCCCTCCCCCAGCTGGGGTGGAGCCCGAGGCGCCCCGCCCGCCGCAGAGCTGGGCTGCTGAGTCCCGACGGTGCGCGGCGGCCGGACCGGGCTGGCGGGCGGGCGGAGCCGGGCCCGCGCGGCTGCTGCGGAGCGACCGGGCCGGGCTGCGGGCCGCGCCATGGTGAGCGGGGCGGAGCGGGCTGGGTGCAGGTCGGGCGCAAGGGCCAGGCGGGGCCTTGCGGGAGAGCAGAGGGCGGCCCCAGACGGGTGGAGGCACACGGGGAGCAGCTGTGCTACAGACCGGGGGTCTCTGCGGCGGAGGAGGGGCGGCCTGGGCTGGGGCGCGGCTTCAGCGGGAGGATCTGTTCCCGGGGCCGCGCTCGCGGGCGGGGGCTCTTTGTCCGCCGCGCTGCGGCGAGATCGGGACAAAAGAGGCGGCGGGGGGCGGAGGCCGCTTTGCGGGAACAGTATCCTCTTCCCCCGCCGGCTCATATACCTTCACCCACAAGGCCCGTGGGTCCACACCCGAGTCGGACGTCGGACACCGGACACTTCGCGATTCTTCAAAATTCCGGGAGCGGCGGGGGTCCTGATAGCTCCCAGCATGATGAGGAAGGATCTACGGGGTGGAGGTCCGGGCGACCTCTCGTGCTCAGTTCAAAAGTAGAGAAACTGAGGCCCGGCTGCGGCGTTCGGTGCCAGTTTCTGCCAGCAGTGACTGCGCGGCTTGGGCATTACTGGGTCTCGTCCCACACCCCGCCCCTCGTCAGGCCCGACTTGAGTTGCCCCTCCAGCTGTCTTTCCCTGTCCAGCTGTCGCCCCCTGGGCCGCTCCCCTTCCTCCCTCTAGCCTCGCTTTGCTTCTCCTTAGAGGGGGGGAGACAGCGGCGTCGCCTGGCGGGGTGGAGTGAGAGTGGAGCATGCCTGGCACCACGCCTGGCACCACGCCTGCACGCCGCCCGCGCTCAGCGCTCGGGACCTGCAGGGGCAGTTGTCATCCCTTAATCCCCAGCATGAAGTCCCCGTCTAGGTCGCTCAGCCTGCCCCAGCACAGTCCATACTGGGGCCTACCAGTCTCCAGCCCCTCAGCACCAGGGGTGAGGATGTGAAGGTGTCAGGACTGTGACATTTTTAAAAGTCACGGTTGAGATCCGAAATTAGGGATCCAGGTTGTCTGACTTTGAATCCTTGCACATCTACTTTTGAACTGTGTGACCTTGGGTGATTGACTTAACTTCTCTGAGCCACAGATCCATTATCTGCCTAGTGGGAATAAGGTCGTTCTGAGGTAGAAAGACTTCTGTGTGAGGCTTTGAGCTCAGTGCTGGATGCATCTTAATCACCACCAACTTTGTCAGGCATCTACAGTTATTGCAGTTGTTGGGCCAATTGGGCTGACCCTGGAGCAGCCTGTGAAAATGACCAGCGGGTAATTCACAGGGTAGGGGCATGAGCCTCAGACCTGGCGAGGGGAGGCCCTGACCGACCTTGCGCAAGAAGTCAGAGCTCTGCATACACCAGCTTCCTTTCCTGTCATGGGGGAGCCCAGGAGGTTCTGGGACCAGTCTCTTCCCGAGGATGGGGGTGGAGGATGAGATGGCACTGGCTGTAGAGCTGGGCACAGCCCCATAAATGCGTACCTCCCAGTGGTGTCCTGGCTGGCTCTTGGAGAGCAGGGCCTTGTGTGACATGTCCTTGTGTCTCAGTGCTGGCTCTGGGCCTAGCATGGAGTGGACATTCCATTGCATCCTGGTGGTTCTCCCTACAATCCTATTGTCCCAGTCAGAAGCCATGCTAAGAAATGTTTCTGGTTTGTGAACTGAGGGGGCTCAGGCTGGTTTGTTGGCATAGTTGGGAGGTGGCTTTATGGGAGAATAGGAGCATGGCTCAAGACCTGGGGGCAAAGTTGCAAGTCCCTGGAGGGGTGACCGTCCCCCTTGAACCAGAACAGCCCACCTGGCCTCCCTTGAAGAACCCCCAGAAATGGAAGCTGCCAGGCAGGAGTGACAAGCTGAGCCCTGGTGCTGTGCCCAACTGAGAAGGAGGCAGAGTGTCCGAGGGGAAGGGGCCGTTTGTGGCATTGGGGCTGG